GTCTACTTTGGCTGTAATTTTCTCCATAAATACAACTTAGGTCTTTCCACGCAGGGTTTAACATTCCTCCTGCCCACCAAAACCCAAGTAACTTCATGTTTTTCATCTGTGTACCTAAAGGCCGAGGCTCCCAATATCCCCAGTCCTCTTTACTGGGGAAAGGTGTGCCACTGAGGGCCCATGGGCCCTTACTCCCCACACCCACTTCCCTCCCACCCCACATACAATTATCAGCCTTTGCTGCCCGGGAGAAGATGAGATTCCCTGACAGAGATTTTCTCAAAAATCTCATGGGCTCTGTGTTAGGTTTTACGTGGGAAGCGTGGTATCGCCCCTCGCCTGGCCAGCTCAGCTCCTCACCGCGTCTCTGAATGGAGACACTTCAGCCACTGGTAATTTGAGTGTCAGTGACTCGTGCCTCCAGACAGAAAGGAAGATGTCTGTAAAGCAAACTTAACCTTCTGGCCCTTGTTTCCTCTTACTGTACAGAAGGAGTTGTGACCTACCCCAGGTGTGCAGAACACAGCTAAAAATCTGCTGCTTAAATATTCAGTATGTACTGCCTTACGTTTTCTTCGTCAATCTTTTGAACGTTGGTGTCTTCCCTGGGATTTACCAAAAGTTACGCTATTTCCCTTGGCTAGTTAAGGGATGGATTTGCTGCCAAACTCCCGCCAGTCCGACCCTGATCCCTCGGTGCCCCAGAGACGGCGGGGTCACCACGCGGGAGCCCGTCGCGTCGCGTGAGAGCCATACTTACTCCTGTTGTCTATCTGGTGTTTGAACGGCCTGCTCTGTCCGGAGGCAAAGCTCAGCGACACCAAGAGCACCAGCACGTAGACGGTGACCAGCTTTGAGCGCTCTGGTGACCGCTGGGCACGCGGCGTCCACGAGATCGGATGCTGCATGATGGAGCGGTGGAGGGGGGGCTGTGAGGAGAAAGAGAAGCCAACGTGGGGAACGCGTACGAGTTAAACCCCTCACCGTGAGGAAGGTGTCCATTCCCGTCTGGCTGTTTCACGACAAAGCTCTGCGGAACTGGCGCTGGGGGTGGCCTGGGGGTGTCTGTCTGAAGGCAAAGGCCACGCAGTCAGCCGTCGGCTGGGTCCAGTCTCGCAGCTGGAGGTTTTGTCTCGCCACCAGTGAAAGCCCCTGTCATGGCCTCAGAGGGCACGCGAGTCCTGGCCCTGAGCTTGCTGCTGACCTCGTGTGGGCCTCTGCAGGATCGCTGAAGTGTGTTTTAGCCACATCTTCCTTTCCTCGCTTGTAAAACACGTCTAGCGTTTGCATCCTCCACGCTCCCTCCACAACCAAACGCGTTTCCGCATGACAGGGAGCGCTCCTCCCGCGTCATCGCTCCTTTCGCGGCCAGCACGCAAAAGCACGCTCTCCAGTCACAGACGTCCCCGTCTTGGAAAGGCACCAAGATGCAAACAGGTGAGAAATCCCCCCTCCTCCCCCTGCCCAGGGAAGGGCTGTGCAGAAGAGAAGGCGGTGAGCTGGGAAAACTGCGTCCAGGAGGCGACGGACGCCGGTTACGGCCGCACCGGCTCCGGCGGCTCGTACAAGCTTCCCGGCAGCGGCGCTCTCAGCTGTCACGCTGGGTCCGTGCCCTGTAACATGCAAGGGCTGCCCACACGTGCGGCATCCTGGAGCCTCTGCCTACAGCTGAAGCATCACTTACGGTAGATGTACAGGCACAGAGCTATAGGAAACCCTCTCGGCTAAGCCTATAGAGAGGCGTCTCCTTCTGTACGGGTGGGATTTTTTTCCTTACTGCCTGCTGGCGGGAGCAGGAGGGGCAGG